TGGCCTTGTGGGATCCAGTCAACCACCGTGCCACCAGCTGGCACCACAAGTCATATTTCAAGCACTCAATAGCATATGGCTAGTAGCTACCAAACCAAACGACTCAAAATACACTTTTATCATCATAGAATGCTCTTTTAAGTATCACTGCTCTCTCCAGATAGTTCCATGGACCACAATGGGCCACAGAAAAGTGGGGCAGAAAGAACTCCAGTCCTGCCCCATCCCTTTTTTTTTTTTTTTTTGGCACATCATATCCAGGCTCTCTGTTACAAAAGGTTATTTAAATTTTCAAAATACATTTTCCTTTGGCACACATTTTATCAATACTTTCTTAGGTATCTGTTATCTCTCTCTTGTCAGTATTTCGTTTGTTTGTTATTTTAGTTTTGCTATGGGACATGTGACTTGTCAGAGTGAGAGAGAGAGAGACAGACAGACAGAGAGAGATAGAAAGAGAGAAGGAAAGTGACAAATCACACCCCAGTCAGATGGCTGTGCTGCAATCTCTTCTCCTCCCTCATCTTCTCCGTATTTTGGACACACATACACACACACCTGGCATGATTTTCAAGCTGCTAGGTCTGAAACTGGAATCACACAGTTGGTCATGTGGGATCTAGAAGCTTAATCTCCATGCCACCTAGTGGCCCTGACTCTCATTTTCAATTAGAGGCACATTTCCTGGAAATCCATGTCATCCCATGGCTCCAACAAGTATCAAAATACTAACAAGTCCCAGATGTGCACATCAATCCCCAGTCTTTATCCTGAGTTGTGGAATATTTTCCCTCTGCAATGTACATATACACAAGAGTTTACTTCTGGTATCCGAAATCATCTGAAAAATAAAATCATCATCAATTCTCTTCATTTTTCTTTCTCCCTATTGCAATTAATGTCCTTCCTTAATCCTTTATATAGCCAGCTCATTCCAGACAAAGTTGTACCCCCTCTTCTCTATGTAGCAGGGCTACAGGGTTAGGGCATCCTCACATCTGCAAACAGGTATAATGATTCATAAACTGGGATACAAATGAAAGAACAAGTTCAAGACACATTGCAAAGACTGGCCCGGAAGAAACACTGGAAAACGCGGTTGAGAACTGAACACAGGCATAATACTCTCTTTTCTATTCTTAGCTCATAGAAATAAAAGGGCTTTCATGTTTAAGGAGTCACCCAACTTGAAGAAAGTCTCCTCTCCAGCAGCCCTAATACATTCATCTTCAGATTGAGCCCAGTTCTGCTCCAACTCCTCCTGGACATGCATGTTCAGGAAAAGAGCATGGTTTAGATCCCTGGAGCCACCTAAGGGATGCTAAGGAGACCAAGGCAATGGAAGAAGCTATGCCATTCCAGTGGAATAACACAGACACTAACATGAGTGTTTGAAACCAAGGAAAAACCTCAGGTACTCAGCCTCTGTGTCTTCACATCAAGCAGTGATTTTCTTGTTTCCTCCTCTAGGACTATTTTCTCTTTGAGGGCAGAAACTGTCTCATTCATATCTGTAATGCCATTAATTGATATATTACAAAAACCCAATAAATATTCATTAAATACAAGAATGATTGTTTCTACCCTACCTTAGGTCTTCTTCCTATACTTCTACACTACAGAGATATAGAGCTATCCTCATAGATTTTTAAAAAATTTTTTTTTAATTTTTAATTTGTTTTAGAGGCTTTTGTTATAGGGCACGTGCGCTCACCAGACAGACAGAGAGAGACACAGAGACAGAAAGCAAGAAATCACCCCCCAGGGGGGATGGTCACGCTGCAATCCCTTCTCCTCCATTCTCCTCTCGGGATCTTGGGCACGCATGCACACGCGCCCAATGTGAGTTCTAAGTCACCGGGTCTAGGACGCGAACCGCGGTCGACTACGTGGGAGCCAGCGACACAGCCATTACACTAACTGCTGGTTCCCTCCTCATAGTTTTTATATTTAATACTGCCGATATCATCCTTAAAAAAAACAATGACTCTCTGCAATAATTTTAATTACTTATTATTATTATTTATTTATTTTTCTTTTTAAGAAAGAGATCCCCTAGGGAAGTTGGCCATGCCACAATTCCTCCTCCATTCTACTGGGGTTTTGAGCACACATGTACACGTGCCCAGCATGAGTTTCGAGCAGCCAGATCTGAGACTCAAATTGCAGTTGGCCACATAGGAATCCAGCATCTTAATCATTTCACCATCTGCTGACCTCAATCATTTTAATTTTTTTTCATGACAAACTAGATTCTAAGTAACTGACTTTTAGAACATGTGAGCATACTTTCAGTCATCCTCCTGAGACCAGCTCCTGTGCTGAGACAAATAATCTGTACCTGCTCCCTATTGCTCCCTACCCTAGTCTGAGATTTTGAATTGCTCCCACCATCTCTGCCAACATCACACTGCTCCATATCAACAAACTAATTCAAGGCATAAAAGAAGACATACAACTGACCAAAAAATTCTGTATAAGTGTTTTGTGGAAAAACATACATTCAAGAAAGTCTGAAATTTCAGCACATCAGACCATTTGCTATTTCCAAAATACATCTTGCACCTGTGGCCCTCTAATCATTGTTTTATACTATTCTCTCTACATGCAAAACTATCCATGTTTTAAAGCCTAGGTCAAATTTCTTATCCTCTCTATGATTTCCTTTGATCCAAACACCATCTATATAAGGAGGAACGGATCATAGATGAAAGAATGATTAATTTTTGCCACTCCATGCATTTTTCTTATTGTATTAATCACATTGCACTATGAGCTACATTTATGTAAAATAATGAACTCCTGTTGCATTCTCCAAAGGCAAAACAAAAAAAAACAAAAAAAGGGCTTGACCCACAATATACTTATATTGCTAAATTAATTACTAAATTATTTCATTGTGTTTAATGAATCCAGATATCGCCAATAACATGTACACGTGTATAAAATATGCAACCTATGTAAACAAGTGCATTTCATAGTCATATAATTCTAATTGAAATTATCTGGACTACACCTTTATCTCATAGCACACGTAGCTGAGAAGTTAGTCCAAACTGGTAATACTTGTTTTTCTCATCAATTTATTTCTACCTTTTTAAATTCAGGATATCCTAGACTGCTCTAAAATGGTACATATTTCAAAATTTGGCAAAATTTAATAATCTCTTCATATGCAGTTCTCCCATAATTCCATTTTTTCCTAATGACAAATTTCCTACATTGATTACATGTTCTTTCGTGTTCATTCTATTTCCCTCACTTACATCTATTTCCATTCACATCAACCCTTTTCAATCTTTTCTGTCTATGTTTTTGGCCCTCCGTTCTTTTATTCAAGGCACGAGAGCTGCCATCCTCTTTGTCTCCCTGTTTTTCTGTGTATTTATTTATAAATGAATAGAAATCAAAATACAGAGAACTGTAGTTTCACAAAGAAATATTGGTATGCAGGCTTAATGTATTAAAAATTATTATAACAAGCATGTATAAAAATGATGTATTCAATTTATAACTATAGTAGTTTATATAAAGGATAAAGACTATATTGAAAAATATGAGTTCATTCATAATTTTTGTGTTAGCATTTTCCACAATATGTTATAACTTTCTTTAAATACATCTTATTTTTAATTTACTACTATCTTACCTTAAACTTTCTTAGAATGTCAGATTGCATTTTATACAGATACAAATTCTCTATTGTATACTCAGTTTTATTTTTCCCTCTTTTTTTATTAGTAGAGACATTAACAATAAAATAGGCTCACTTGCTCCAGCTGGTAATTTCTCAGTACTAGTAATATATTATTCCTCTTTTTGTGACATCATAATCATCTATACAGAAGTACCATGTATCTTTGTGTAGAAGCTACTGTTTCCATTAAATTTAATTACCTCCCCCTGTGGTTTTAAATAGAAGTGGCTTCAAAATGAGGGCAGCTTCTATTAAATTTAATTACTTTCTCCTGCTGCTTGCATGGTAAAAGGGAGGTTACTAAATGAGAGCAGCTTCTAAACTAAAGTATATGGTAACTGCGTGCTAGCAAAAACAAAATTGTATCCAAACTACTCTTCTAGAAGCCTCTTAGGTTTATCTTTTTTCCTTATTTTATTTTTATAGGCTTCAGAGTCTAAAAAAAAAGTATTACAATTAAAAAATACAGATTTTAAAAATAGATGTTAGTTTCCAAAGCTAATAAAGGTAAATATACTACTTCAATACAAAGATATTGAAAACCATCTTATCAAGGTTCAACCTCAAAACTTTTAAAACTAGTATCATTGTTTTCTCACTCTAAGGATGATGAGTTCAACTTTAATGTCTAGTAAAAAGCCTTATTTGATTCCTTGATTCTGATCAAATTGATTTAAAGACTACTTTCCTAAAAGTTATTAATAATATATCAAATTTGGGGCAATTTCAAAGAAATACATTACTAATGGTAATGTTAAGAAATGAAAAAATAAAAATAAATGCCATTAGGTTCATTATAGACCACTGTATTTGCAAAGAAGTTAATTATATGCTTTGTAATAGTGCAAAAATGTAAATCACTTTAAAAATACTATAATAATCCTATAAAATCTAACAGAAGATGAAATTTTAAGTACCTTTTTTAAATTAAATATTAATTAGAAGAAAATACTACTCAGTTAAACCACTCTTGTACAATGTTTATTTTTTTATTTACAGGCAGAATTTAGATGAACAATATTTTCATTCAATCACACAGTTTAGTATAAATATAAAACAAGACACCCCTTAAGCATTTTAAGTAACAAATTAAACATTTACATTTTTTACTGTGCACTGAGGCTTAACATTTATGCAGCTTCAAAACCAAAGTACAGCCTCCAGGGAAGTCTCTCCACTGACAAATTAATACCTTAGAGAACAGAGCTGAATGGTGGCAATGAACTCATTTGTTCCCCCAATAATGAAGAATGACTTTTTCTTTACCACATCTGTGACTGTTGCTATGGTGACCCAGACTTACCTCATTGCTTCTCGGAGAGCTCCTCGCTCACCAAGAGTCGTGTGCTTGATGTCATCAAAATTATTCTCCAGCTTCTCACAGTCCTGTAACATATTTAAAAACTACATTAATCCTTCAACATCCCCACAAAAAAATAATATCTATGCAATTATGTAAAAATATAATTGATTATATTGATTATGAACTCATGAAAAATATGCACACCACTTTAATTGAGTAGGATTCATTAAATTTGACAGTTGAATTAAAGGGTAACAAAATAAAAATGTCTTATGACACAGCTGTCACAGAAGTCTTTTTATCAATTTTTCGAAATGGGTAAATAGAGGAAATGAGTATCATATGAAAGGAGCAAAACTTCTAGATTTTTGTGGAATAAAAATTACTTCTCTAAATAATCTCAAAGCCAATTTAAATTCAAAGGAAAAATCAATAAAGTAAGCTTTAAATCACAATGAACAGTACATGATAAAATCTAGTTCTAAATAAATTAGCATTTACTAAGAAGGAAAGAAGAGTCCAGGTATAATATATTAATAAATGTTCCCAATTTTTTATCAAAATTTTATAAATAGATCTTTAAATAATAATTGTGTATGTAATGTTCACAATTGGGTGAAAATATGCATATATATTGTTAAAATAAGTTCTATTTTTAAAGTTAAATGACATCAGATTCTTAGATTTTAAAATTAGGTACATATGACATAAGCAATTTAAACTTCATAAGTCTTTCTAATTTCTAGTAAATACAACATCATTACTAAACTGAATTTTCTAAGACTATTATTAAATGTTTATAATTTTCTAAATATAACTGTATGTGTAAAACTGTATGTTATACATACTAATAAGTTTTAAGGACATAAGATATAGGATTAAATTTTTAATTTAAAGAGAATGTATATAAATCTGGAACATGAAATTTCTTGTAAAATTTAGTAGTATTTAGGTAACAAAGTAACTAGATTTAATGTTTTAGTTAATTTTACAAACAGTAAGACTAAATACTAAAATTTAATTATTAACGTGTTCTTTCTATTCTCACATTAAGTATGCTAGATTTTAGAAAATTATAGAACTTAGATTAAGAATTTTTAATGTGTAACAATTAACTGATTTAAAAATCAATTGATATATTTAACCATTATTTTTTCCATGATCTTTTTTTTTAACTTAGTCAAATTATGGCAAAGACCCTTTTAACAGTTATATGCTGTTACAATGAAAATTACCATGTCTCCAAAATAATTAAATTCATGCTAAAAAGTCCTTTGTTGGATATGTTCATTACAAATATCCTATCCAGCTCTGTGTCATATCTTTTCACTTTGTAAATAGTATCTTCTCATGTAAAAAACTCCTACTTTTTAATGAGGCCCAATTTATTACTTTCCTAATTTAAGGTTAGCTCTTTGTGTCCTTTTTGTGAAATTTCTGAAAGTTATATATTTTTCCCTTTTTTTCATAGTTTTACTATTTTACATCTCGCATTTAGATGTATAATCCATCTGGGATGATATTTATACATGGTGTCAGATAAGTAATCAATTAAATCAGTATTATTTAGTGAAAAGATCACCATTTCATTCATTGTAAATTACAGTTATTTTTTGCCATAAATTAATTCGTGGTATATGTGGGGTCTATTTCTGATGTCTATTCTATTTAACTGGTCAATTTCATATACATACTATCAGTATCACACTATCTTATTTACTTACATACATAATGAATAATTTCTCCTACACTCAAATATAAAAAGTCCTAAGTTTTTAATTTATGTAAATGCTATATGAAAGAGAATATTCAAATAGTCAATTTAAAAATGTTCATCATTACTCATGTAAATTTACCATAACAAGATACTTCTATATGTTTTAGAAATGCCTAGAATTAAGAAAGATATACAAAGTGCTATTTAGTTTTAAAATGTAGTAGAAACAGGGGCCAGTGGATGGCATCACTGACTCCCACATAGCTGACCACAGTTTGAGTCTCAGATCACTGGCTTGAAAACCACACAGGATGTGTGTGCATGCATGCCCAAGATCCTTGGCAAGAGAATGGAGGAGAAGGGATTGTGGCATGGCCATGCCTCCTCTACCTCCCGCAAGCACACAAGTGCCCTAAGGCAAAAACAACAACAACAACAAAAAGTAGTAGAAACAGTGCTGGTGGAACTGTAAATCATTACATGCACTTTATTCAGCAGCACATTAGACAGCTAAACATTCAAGTATACGTTATGACCTGGCCTTCCCACAGCCAGGAACACACCCAGAAAAAAATGTATAATACATCACATGCAAGAATGTTAATAGTAACACTTTTCAAAATACCAAAACTAGAATCAAGCCAATTAAATATCAAGATGGCATATATAAATAAATTGTTACGTATTCATTCAAAGGAAAACTATGCAGCAATGAGAGTAAGTAAGGTATAATGAAGAGAATTATCATGTTGCACGCAATTAAAATTCTACTATACATACTCCTAAAAGTATAAGAAATTAAAACAAATATCCACACAAAATTTGTACACAAATGAATATAGCAGCATTATTCATAAGAGACACAAAGTTGAAACAACCCAAAAGTCAATCAAATGACAAATGAATAAATAAATGTATACCAATAGAACAAAATGTTATTAGGCCATAAAAAGAGAAGTTACACTACAACAGGAATGAGTCTTAGAACATTGCGCTAAGTGAAAAAAGCAAGGTGCAATAGGCCACATTTTATTAGTCAATTTACATGAAATGTCCACTATAACCAAATCAATACATGGTTACCAGTGGCCAGAGAGAGGGGGAAATGGGAATAACTGCTAACAGGAATGTGGTTTTTTTTAAACAGAGTTAAAGATATTTTGGAATTAGTGGTGATCAATGTACAACATTGTGAATGAATACATTATACACATATATGAATTGTACACTTTTAAAGGGTGAATTTAACTGCATGTGAGCTGTATGTCAATAAAGTAATGACTTAAATAAATAAGCAAATTAATCCATAATGTTGGAAGTCATCAACTAGTGACTACAGAAGCAATGAGGGTCTTCTAGGATACTGTCCAACTCATTTCGTGAAAATTCATGAACTGAATAATTAAAATTTGTTTACTTTTTTGTATGTAATTACAATGTAATAAAAAATTTTCAAAACAGAGTTTGAATTCTGGCAAATAAATCATAATCCAATCCCATCTCCTTATAGTTAAAATTAAGGAATGCATATAAAACACTTTAAAATGTCTCACATGATAAAATGTTAGGTGCCAGACATTTTTGTTCCTTCTTTTTTTAAGTTTATCAATTTCTTTCCTCTCTGAGAGAGAAAGACGAGGGGGCACCCATAACAGGGTCTGCAATCCAAGGTCTACGCCTAGACTCAGAAGCCCTGGACCATGAGCATGGACATGCACAGTATGTCCATGGAGGTCAATGAAAGCAAACCTGGAACTTTATACTCTGTGGATCAGGCTCAAAGTGTTGTGTTACTACTGTCCCACATCCATCCTCTGTTATTTTTTATTATTAGTATTTATTAGAGTTCTATACTAAATAATTCATTCCTAGGTGCCAGTAAGTTGTACAGTGATTAAGGCACTAGACTCCCACATGGTTGACTGTGGTTTGAGTCTCAAGGCTGGTGGCTTGAAAATCATGCTGGGCATGTGTGCATGTGCACCTAAAATCTTGAGAGGAGAATGGAGGACAAGGGATTCTGGTGAGGTCATCTCCTCTGGAAGTCATTTTTCATTTCCCTCTCTCTTACCTGTGAGCATATGTGCTCTATAGAAAAACCATTAAAAAAAAAAGTCTAATTCCTGTAACTGAGTTTATTTATCTGATAATCTTTTGATACTTCATTAACTAAATAATCAACTTTTTCTCTAAAATAAATATTAGGTCATCGGGAAAGTCATGACATGTTTTCCTATGCAAAAATGCATCCTGACTTTCCTGACAATTCAATAGTTTTAGAAGATGACATCTGTACAATTAGAATTGTAAAGATGAGTTACTAGATTAGATGGGCCTTCAAAGAACACGTTTTCATTGTACTAAAAATTAAGTTCAGTTAAAATCTGGGCCTCTCAAGTAGAAGATAGAGTTTTTCTTACTCTTTTGCTTAATACAGGCAGACAAAAAGAGGGAAAAGAGGGCCTAACGCTGGTGGCACACGGCTGCAAAGACGTTGTGTTCTTCCCCTCCCACGTGGTTGGGACCACATGGGAGGGAAAGGTACAACTCTGGTCCAACCCAAAGGTTTGGTGCAGTGGCGTGGAATAGTAATCTGAGTGACTAAAGAGCTTGAGGCAAGAGAACCATGACATCAAGGCTGGCTTGGGCAGTGAGAGTTTATGTACAATAAAAGAGCCAGGTATGGTTGGGTAGGCTTGTGGTCTCAGATGGGGGCTGAGGCAGGAGAATTGTGAGATTTACTGCTGAGTAAAGCAAGCCAGGCTATGAAGGAGAGACACTGTATGTCCCCACTTAATATATACCAAATGTCCACATTCTATGACTGAAACTGAGTGACTAAAGGATACAGAAACACAGTAAATAGGTGTAAATACCAGATATAGTGTGTGTGGAAGAGCAGGGTCTGAGGAAGAACATGTAGAAGAAAAATACAGAGGCAAAGCATTAATGGGACAAAGAAATGTGGTATTATCTGTTGAAGATATTTTATAGTTTAATCAACTAGACTAGGAAGAAATGCTCACATATTTAAATATTCACTTTGAAAGCTAAATAATATGATCGAATGTATAAAAGAAAATGAAATAAAAAAAGTAAATTAAAGAAAAAAAAAAGAAAGTGGATCAGTGGATGCCTAGGGCTGGACAGGGTAGAGGGGACTGGGGAAATGACGCCTAAGGTCGTGGGATTTCTCTGAGGTAACAAAAATGTTCTAAAATGCATTGTGGTGATAACGGTGCAACTCTATGAACATTAAAAAAAAAAACTATTAAACTGTACAGTTTAAATGAAAAAGAAAAGTTTTAAAAATCAAAAGAGGGACCAGCAGTTAGCATAATGGCTATGTCGCTGGACTCCCATGTA